TTTGTTTCCTCCTATAGAAGAAAATAATTTTTTATTCTCATTAAGCATTACATATTCCATATATCATAGGATAACAGCTTTTATAACAACATTCTAGCACTAACTTTCATTTTTGCACATTCAGGCACATTACACAATAAACTAAATCTTTTGAAACCTTAGGATAAAAGTGATTGGCCTTGTTCATAAATTTAAATGCAATACTTGTCTTTTATAATTAGTTTTTATTAATTAAAACTAATTAAAATGAATACTGTTGTCTATCAAAATTTAGTATGCATAGCTATTGCTTCCTTTAAATGCTTCAAAAACTTACATTACTCACTTTTTTCATAAAAGTAATAATAAAAAAATGAAATATTTAATTAATTTTTAAGATGAACAATAATTCATAAGTAAAAAATGACCGAAACGTCATAAGCCGAAATGTCAATTGGACGAAACATCATCGACTGAAATAACCTAGGCCAAAACGTCCAGTGGCCGAAACGCCCGTCCACCGTGTTATCGGTATACTCTCTCGCTTTTCGTCTCTCTCTCATACTAGATGACCAGTTAGGGCGACCTTCGGATGTAGACTATCGTTGCGACTACAGTCTGAACTATCCCGACCATGCTCTATCGTATGGTATGGCTGGTCACGACCACAGGTTGAACTATAGTACGAAAATCCGAGCAACAGAAGGTCGCCTAGGTGTGGGACAACTGAACAATCAATAGCATGATCCATTAGATATGAGTAGAGGATTAATTATACAAACTGTCATAATGATTATTCACAACTTGTATTATTATAAATAACTGTTAACCTAGTGTATGTAACCTAGTGTATGTAACTTCTTACTTAGGTATTTAAACAGGTGAGAGTGGTAATTTACATGACTAGTTTCTTAAATGTTGCAGTTTAAACAAAATAATTATTTTGTTTAAACGATGCAATAATTTGTTTAAACGATTTAATATTTACACGATATTATATTTTGTTTAAATATAATGTCATCTGCTTCACTGTCTGAGATATGTCTGTTTCCGTTTCGGATGTGGCTAATTGGATAATTAAAAAAAAGGTGAACCGTACGAGATGTAGCCCCTTTTACTAATGCACATCCACTGTTATTTTAATCATGATAGCAGGATTTGTTTTTCTTTTTTACATCCTGACATTATTTCCATAATTGATAAAATTCTTGTTTTACTGTTACTAATTGATAACCAGAATAGAACATTTAATAAATGATTATATCTACGAAACTAATTGAATTTTCGTGTCTATTTTCAAAACTGAAGTCAAATGGTTACACGTTTCTGTATACCAATTCTATTGTTTTTTTTAGGACATTGAAACGACACGTTTCTATATAACAATTTGTTTTGTTTTTTTACGACATTTAAATAACTGCTTTTTCAATTTTTAAAACTAAATTTGTATATGAGGGATACGTTGACTCTTTCAAAATAACAAGGCTATAAGTCGTCGCTGTCTGCTTACTTTACTTTAATAAGAGTAAGCATACTCTGCCTCATGTCCGAGACTCGTGACCAAGAGGTATATTGGTAGGATTTCCCTGGTCGTTGTCTCAGACAGTACCGTGTAAACATATATGACGTCATGGTGCTTCACACCTTAATACATCAAACAATGATGACTAACAATGATTGTATTGAAGATAGGGATTTAAAATGATGATTTGTGGGAAAAGAACACATTTTGATAAAAATAATAATAATAATAAAAAAAAAATCATTTCACTATACACCCACCAAACCTCTTTTTAAAAATATTTAGTAGTTTATTCTGGTCTGTTCTGAATTGTCATTTTTGCACATTCTATACTTGTGCGTGCCGATATGATTTACCATTTACAGGAAATGCGATATATGATCCCTTTAAAGTATCACATAAAAAGTATTGCATTATCTTATATAACTCAACCTATTGTATGCTATCCAAAACAACTGTATTTTTGGAATAATGTGACCACGGCTTCAACCAAATAACTCAATCAATTGAAATTCGATTGTATTTTTTAAATAATATGATTACTGTGATAAAATAAGTTAATCTTTTAGCGATTAAATCTAATTACGTAAGATATCTGGTAGTTCTTGCTACGTAATAGTTAAAAAAATAGATACTGAGAAATGAATATATGGCCGAAATAGAACACCACAGTCTTACGGCATTATTGGTTCACTTGATTTGGTTAAAGTTCATTACACCGGGTATTACTCCAGAACAATACCAATCAATCTAGATCGGAAGTGATATTATCAAAATGGCGTATCTGTTCTGTGATAAAGTTTTATCTATCAAAATATTTTTTGAAATATACATTATAGCTCATTAAAGATAAATTATCTAGGGCTGTTTGCTTTTGTTTATGGGTAAAAGTATCGATTTGAGCTTGTCATTAGGATGTTTGGTTAAGTACCATACTACTAAATGCTATTTCTAAATGCGCATAATGAGTGAGTAAAATATTTCAATTTTGAAAAATTGATTCCTCTATTATGTGGTCTTATATTGTCGTCGCCCAAGTCCGCCCGTCGGCCCGGCATGCACTATTGCTGGTGGACGCTCTAGAGGCTAAAGTTAATATCCGAATGACTTTAAATTTTTACAGTGTTTAAGGTCATCAGACGAAGAAGCCTTTTGATTTTCACCGATTTCCTATAATTACTGTCAGAATCATGGCCCTTGATCACTTTGAAAAATCTTGTGGACGCTGTAGAGGTTAAAGTTAATATTCGATTGAATATATTTAATATTTAAATTTATACTCAGTGTTTAAGGATGAAGACGACGCCTATTGATTTTCAACGATTTCTGATAATTACTGTCAGAGTTATGTCCTTAATCACTTTAAAAAATCTTGTGGATGTTTTAGAGACCAGTTATCATCTGATTGATTTTATATTTATACATCGTTTTTACGTCTGTATATAATCGTTTCGATTGACTTTAGACTGATACACAGAGTTTAAGGCCTTGAAACAAACACGTATATTGATTTTCAATGATTTTTAATAACTTGAACAGCTAAATTCATGATATTAAATGTTTTGTATACATGGGCCAAACAGATTCTAATGATTTTCTTATAATTACTTAATGAGTTGTTACTCCTAATCAGATTTTAATGTATTATAAATGTTTCTTTACCGACAAAAGTAAAATTATGCGACAAATCTTGTGGACTGACCGGACGATTTAACTGTTGTGGGCGTATGTTACGTTGCCTGTCAACCTATCTTTTGCCATATGATCGCATTATTACATTCTGTTAATAATGAAAAGCGGAAACGTATCCACAATTTCACTATTAAATGGAACGCGCAAATTAAATTATTTATGTGGCGATATATAGCGTTGAGATCATTGCCGTCGCAAGTACGACCAAGCCTGTGCAGGGCACAGGAAAGGGTGCAGGTCTTATCCGGGCTCTCCCAGTTCCTTTCTTATCTAAAGATGGTTGGTCATTGCAGTAGAACACCGCAGGAGAAAAGACATTTTATAGAATATAATGATGATGTTGACAACGAAGTAACGAGTTTAAGACAGAACTCCCCGGGGTTAAATATCTGGTTTAGTTCTCCAATCAATATAACAAACTACTCTCTGCTTAATTCGAGTTTCTGGTCTCACCTGACAGATATTCCTATTCTTGATTATAACGATATGTAACCCTCTTCCCAAATTCCATCCACTTGAAACCCTTTGGACTATTTTAGTCGACGATCCATGTGTTTTAACACCCCCAAGAACTATTCTATGAAGAGATTCCACCCATTTCTGCTTGGGGTAATCTATAGATAAAGATTACATGCACTTGACACTCCGTGGACTAATCTAGTTAAAGATTTTGGCCGCTTGACACCCCGTGGACTAATCTAGTTAAAGATTATCGGACAGTCCGAGAACTATTCCAGGAAGAGATTACACCCGCTTGGAGTAATCTACATCACGGCCACTTGACACCATTAGAACCGTTCTAGGAAAAGATTCCACCCGTTTGACACAACAGCTTAGACTATTCCTGAAAAAGATTCACCAGAAAACAAAGTGCTATTTTATCGTAGCATCCAGTATAAAATTTCTTCGGCTTTTTATTTCATATCATTTGCAACAATCCATTTGATATATTCTTTTATAAAATCCTATTTTTTCCTTAGTTAAACTCTTAACACCGAATAGTCTGTTTGATCTTTCCAAAATCAAGCATCTAAGTCACATATTGTGCATTTTTGTGTTATGTGCATGATTGTGTACATATGTGTTTTACACGACGGGTCGTTTGACCTAAGGGATCAAAGAATTTGGACTTGCTAATTACACTCCCTCTGCCATTAGGTATTGCATCAAAATGTGTGGCGTTATCCGTAGAGAGCGATATTAATAAGTTTCATATCTACATGTATTTATTCTGGGGATGAGGCGCGGTTGAGTCTTGCTGTTAATTTGTTAATTCAGTTAATACTATACTACGCCAATGACCAACCATTTTATCAGATGGGATTACTAACGATTACTAACGATTGTTAAGTACGAATAAGACTGTAGATAACACCTTTAAGACTATAATCTGTATTGAGATCCAGAGAGATGACGAACCGGGTGCAGTGCCGCTCGTATCTGACAAGCATAATACAACTCGTTTAAAATCTAACATTATGTTAGCAAGTCACTTTAAACATAACACTTTGACCATAATACTACTACCGCTAGTGGTTTGTAGTTTCAGTCATGAGCATGTAAACTAACTGAACAGTCAGTTAAATAGCTGATTGATTGATGGACAGTCAGAATTTTATTCCGGTGTGGCTCCATGTACCTTTAACAACTCACAGTGAGACTTACAGTCGAGAGTTACTCGTGGCAGCTTCGGTATATATTTACTTGATATAAGTATTTAACGATTGGATGAATCAAGCGTGGCTTTTCATTTAAATGGACGTTGAGGTTTTGTTGGGAACACTTCCTAATTAGATATAGAAATAATATAAACCATAAGAAAAGATCAAACAATATTATGACTGTTTTTGGTGGAATAACGAGAATTTGAAAAGTAGTTTTGTACATTATACATCGTGTGAGATCGGGATTTCTACTAAAGGATGTTGATGTGTATTTTTTAAGTTAAAAATAATAACGAAAAAAACGTCGAATTTTGCAACTAAAGTTGTTTGTTCATGTGTTAGGGGTATTTATATAACACCACTAGTTTTAGAAGATGTGTGGATTATACCAGAACTCTTAGTTTCTTTGCAGTTAATACGTTATTTCAGGTAGTCACTGCTTGTTAGATTTCCCCGTGGAATTGGAGAATACAACTAAAAGTAAAATTTCCAAATAATCGAGACAGTATAACGACATATTGTAAATCTATGCGTATTCAAAGAGCAAAAGACGTAACAAACTGCAAATTGGGTCAATATTTTTTACGTTATTCAAGGATTGCTGTAGAGGATTAATTGTGTCATTTCTCCATATGGTAGGTGGGTTTTAATTTTATATTATCGTTATCGGCTGTTTATTTGACAAATACAATTTGCAAACCCGGGTTTGCCCTAGATTATTATAAGTTAATTAATTGGGTCAGAGTGTTAGGCAAGTTGACCAGTTTAATCTTAATTAGATATTAAAATGTTCTAATTCAACACATGTATATATACTATTCAAAAAAAGTAGGGGATATTTGATTTTTAAGTGTTATTAAAGTCACCTAATGAAACTGACGAAGAAACAAATGACAAAATGAAATGAAGTTCACATTCATCGATTTATTCCAAATGATCGTTAGACTAAGTAAGGCACAGACTGACCATTATAAGGGTAAAATGATACCCGGGGTCAAACAGCAAAGTTACCACAGCATCACAACCAAGTCAGTAACGGGTAAATCCTCCACTGTTTGCCAAACAAGCATTGATCCGACGTGGCATACTCCTAATGAGACGTCTAAGGTCATTTTGGTCCAGATTGTCCCATTCCTGTTGCAACGCAGCAGCAAGTTCTTGGACATTGGCAGGACGTTGTTGACGTTGACGTAACCTCTGTCCAAGCATGTCCCAGACATGCTCGATGGGGGAGAGGTCGGGACTCAGTGCTGGCCAAGGTAATGTGGTGATGTTCTGTTGTTGGAGGTAACCTGTAACGATCCTGGCCCTGTGACATCTTGCGTTGTCATCCTGGAAGATGAAACGGCGGCCATGACGTCGTGCGAACGGCACAACATGGACTGCCAAGATGTTGTCCCGGTAGTACTGGCCTGTAACACGCCCTGCAACAACATGTAAAGCCGTTCTTCCAGCAACAGTGATGCCTCCCCACACCATAACAGAACCACCCCCAAATCGATCATGTCTGATGACGTTAACGTCTTGGAAGCGCTCGTTTCGACGACGCCACACCCTCCTACGTCTGTCCAAAAAATCAACAGTGAACCTTGACTCATCTGAAAACATCACATTGCTCCAGCGTCGATTATCCCAGTGTTGACGATCCCTACACCAACGACGTCTGTGATGATCTCTCAAACAAGGGATCACGCGAGGACGTCGGGCGCGAAGGTGACCCCTATGCAGTCGATTCCGAATCATCTGGCCACTCACTCTCACACCAGTGTCTGTTTGAAGACGAGCGCTGATCTGATTTGCTGTGATGACACGATTTCTCAAGGCCAAGGTACGGATAAATCGATCCTGGGCTTGAGTTGTCGCCCTTGGTCGACCTGAGCGTGGTCTGTCCTGTACAGATTGTGTATCACGGTATCTGGACCATAGCCTGCTTATGACAGACTGAGAAACATTCATCGTCCGCGCCACAACCGCCTGTGTTGTGCCGATCTGTAGCATGCCATGGTCACGTAACCTTTCATTTTGGGTAAGCCGACGCATATCAAAATTTGTTTTCTGGTCACTAAAACAATTAAACTGATGTTTCCACCCTGGAATTCAATGCCACAATGACTGTAACATTCAAAGTCAGAGTCGTGCAAATCTTGGGTTGGACCCCCATGATGGTCCCAAGCATCACCTGCATTCCATGCGGTAGCTATTGGTGCGTTTGGGCGTCACATGTAACTGGAAATGTTTCTTCTGTTAGGTTCTATAGTGACTTTTTTCGTAGTCATTTGCATATTTTAGTATTATGCCCCCAAAATCAAATATCCCCTACTTCTTTTGAATAGTATAATTATCTCTTCACAAAATCCAGTATAGTAGAAGATAACGTTTTGCGTTGGCACAATTTATCCACGCCCAATTTTGATTTGCTAAAGGTTTGCTAGGCAAAGTATTGAGACAGTTTTGACTGTTATGATGGGGTGCTATTTTAACTAATTTTACTAAAACTGTCTGTTTATATTTAATGCTAACTCGCTTGAGACTTGTTGTCGGTATTTAAACACCTGTTTCCTATATCCAATTTATATTTCTTAACAGAAATAAATAGTTATTTTAATCCCTAGCATGAAAATATGTAATATTCACCGGTTGCTGAAAGGTCTTACAGTTACACCGATGATTATTGTAACCGATATCAAATATGCATTATGTAAGATTTAGATAAAGAGCTGGCAGTTTTCGCTATAATAGTCAACAGCGAAGCTGATGCCCCGCCAAAATCCCAAGCAGAGATAAGCAGAGATAAGCAATTTGATTGGTCGGTGCTTTGGGACACGATAACTTTAGTTATAATTAAGCGAGAGTGATGAAACTTGGTGTGTAGTTTCATTACATCAATACCTTGACTAAGTGCGATAATGAGCATTTTCTGCTCAGGGTAAGCAAAGCGATAAACAATTTGAGTGGTTGCGACTTTTGAACACAATAACTCTCCTTCTAATTGAGGCAGAATGTTCAAACTTTGTGTAGGTGTTCATTAGATGAATGTCCTGATGGAGTGCACAGATGAACATTTTCTGCTTAGGGTAAGCCGAGATAAGCAATTGATTGTTTGATGCTTTTTGGACACGATAACTTTGGGTATAATTAAGTGAGAGTGATTAAACTCCAAGTATAGATTCATTATATCATTACCTTGACTAAGTTCGATGATGAGAATTTTGTGCTAAGGCGAAGGAGCGATAAGCAATTTGATTGTTCAAGGCGCTGGAACATAACCCTGCTTTTAATTGAAGTAGAATGTGAATGTCTTGTCTGAGTTCAATGATTAACACATCCCGTTAAAGCTAGCAGAGCTAAGCAATTGCATTTGTCGATGCTTTGGGGTAAGATAACTTGGATTCTAACTGACAGCGTGATGAAACTTAGTGTACATTTTCACTACCAAGTACTTCAAAACCTTGACTGAGTTTGATCGTGAACATTTTCTGTTTAAACTAAGTATAGATAATCAGTTTGATTGCTCAATACTTTTCAAAAAGATAACGTGCAATTAATTAATATTTTTAATCTATTTAATTTGGGATTTCGGCGGTGAACATCATCCTCACTGTTAGCTTGTTACACTATATATTATATCTTTCCATTTGTCCACATTTATAAGGGGTCACGTTTATTAACTTTAATCATATTATATCGTCTAACGCTTTAATTATATTCCATTTTATAGATTCAATTTGATCAAAAGAAAGTGCTGAATTGGGCTGTTATGGGGATGCTATTTCAGTTACTCTTTGGACAAGCTCTGTGTGATTAAATTTAGAGCGTAGCCAAAATGGACAAAGATGATTAAATACGTTAGCTACAAACTCGGTAAACAATATTAAACAGAACTCGTTACTTTCATTAATTCCACTGTTCAGATGAAAGCACGTGCCGACAGGTGGTTAATTTGCCTGGTTATAGATTGGAACTTTTTTCAGCCGTTTTATTATCTAGACTGGTATCTCTAAATTGCAAGGCCTATTTTAAGGTTTATTGAATAAGCACGGTTTAATAGGATGTTTTATGGGTATCCCTCCGCCCCCCCCCCCCCTTGGGTTCCGAAAATATTTCCAAAACGTGACTCACGATTTCCCACACAGAACTTCATAGGCTCAATTTAGCGTCTTCCATCACCTTTATCAGCTCTACTATGTCAGAATGAACCTTCTGGAATCGTAAACAATTAGTCGTGACTAACACAAAGGCTCGCAAAGTGGAGTCCTTAATTATCACCACACTTACCCTTTTATAACCAAACAGGGTGCGCCAAGATGTGTAGGGAACTGAGAAAATCGATAGGGCTCACCCTCTCATTGTCCCAATGCCTCATATCGAATACGAACCTGTAGCTTATCTCGCGTTCACACGGTTTGGGAAAACTCTGGTAACTCAAGAACGGAACGTCTTGAACGCTAAATGGGGTATGTCATCTCATGACCTCAATGTTTCACATCAAATTTGAAAAGAAAACCACGGTTAAAACGGTAGCCTTTATCGCGTCCGCTCAACTCAGGAATTGAAGCTCCCATGTTCCCATCACACTAGAAAGCTCACAACCTTCTTACGCTTTGTGTATGTAAGGCCATAACCCAAGCAGTTGCACCAAAATCGAATTCAACTAAGATAAGATCTTTTGATCCTCAGCATCTAAAACTGGCAAAAATTGAGGCACAATTTAGTGTGAAACTGTGGACGTATAAAAATTTACATAATTTACAGCTTTTGTATTTATAGCTGCGTATCTCATTGTCAGTCCATGCGTCATCAACAGCTTTATTTTTAGAGATTTACATACAAAACGAAATGAAACGCAGTGACTGGTGATCGCAATGATTGCTAATAATGATTCTCGAAGCATGGATTTTTCATTTCGAGGCACGTCCGTGCCTGTAGGCCGTTAAAATAGGCCCTGCCAAATTGCAAAGTAATCTTCTGTAAATTTAATGAAGGAGTAAATGTTCTGCAAACTTTTTCCCAACTGAAGGGGAAACTTAAGTAAACGCACACGATACACTGGGGTTAATATATTCCACCCGTTCCAATATAATTACCGCCTAAAAGGGGGTAATAATAACGAAATAAGGTAAACGGCAATCCGTTTCTATGGTTCGGTAAATTTATGACATCCACAATCTATCTATATAAATAAAATCAGAGATGTTTGTGTGTGTGTATGTGTGTATGTTCGCCCATGACGCCTGATCGCCGCGATCCACCTCCACATATTATGTGGTATCAAATTTAGGTCCCAGGCGAATTGGGCCTTGGCCCCCGGCGAATATCGCTTTGTCGTCGCCCCCCCCCCCCATATGTAGCATCAAATTAACCAGTATGACTACGTGAATGTTTTAGGTCATCCAATTTGGGGAATTCGGTCCCTGGTGATTTTGGGCCCCATGCGAATTGGGACCAGGGGCGAATTGGGGCCGGGCGAACTGTGCCCCACGCAAATTGGGCTCCAGGTAAATTTGGACCCCGGAGGAAACCGGGTATCCTGCTAGTATGGGAATAAAGATCCACTTTTTCAGAATATGCGTATTGTATGGTGTTATGCACATTCTTTTTGGGCTGGTTTATCCATTATACCTTGTGTGGTGGATCT